CTCGGCCTCCCAAAGTGCTGGGATTATAGGCATGAGCCACCGCGCCCGGCCAATTTTATTTTATTTTTGAGACGAAGTTTCGCTTTGTTGCCCAAGGTGGAGTGCAGTGGTGTGATCTCAGCCTACTGCAACCTCCACCTCCTGGGTTCAAGTGATTCTCCTGGGACTACAGAATAAGGAGGAGCTGGGACTACAGGTGTGTGCCATCATGCCCGGCTAATTTTTGTATCTTTTGTAGATACAGGGTTTCATCATGTTGGGGTGACCTGCCTGCCTTGGTCTTCCAAAGTGCTGGGATTATAGGTGTGAGCCATTACACTTGACCTGTCAGATATATTTTTATTTCTGACATTGGGTGATGATGGTTTTTCTGCCTTCATGCAATGCTTTGCATGTAGTAAGTACTCAATTTTTTTTTTAAATCAACATGGATTTTTCAGTGATCTTTTTCTGGTCTTAAGTTAGACAGGATATTGACCATTGCTGTATGCCATGGTTAATGCAAAAGTAGGGTGTTATTTCTAGTTGCAGATACTTTTCTTGAAATCTGCACATGCAGGTAATATGCATTATACAGGTCATAACTCACAAAAGTTCATTAACTTGCTGCGTAGTAGAAAGATGCTGTTTATAGAATCTGAGGGATTTCCTGAAGGTAGGCTAGGAGGTAGTCTCTCCTTAGGGCTTTGCACTGTTTTCTCTTACCACATCCTGCGGTAGGGTGGGCATCAGCATGCCTTGCAACTTGCATCTTGTAGGGTTACCTCTGCTTACATTCTAACTCAGTCTTCGGAAATGTTCTCTCTAGCACTAGGCCAGGTCAAGCTCATGTTCATCTGAATAAGAGCAGCGATTCTTCATGTGGTTTTGTCTCCAGGTTTCTTCTGTAGGTTTGTACCCATCCTCGGGAGCCTTGCCCCACAAGGTCATTTCCTGCTTGATCATCTGCTTCATGGATGAACTCCTCTCCTCATTTATTGCTGTGTATGATGGATTTTTGGTTGTCATAATATACAATTATTGTTAGTGTTTAAGTCTTTCATTATTTTAAATGGACATATCCTGAATGAGAAACATTCTTCTTCTTTTTTAATTGAATGTTGTATCATGTTTATTAACCCAGTGGCTGATAAAATTATTATAGAATTAGTGTTTATTGGTAGTATAAAAAGTGGCTTATCACAACTTTTGTCTTCCCCCTAAGACATGGGGCCTCACTGTGTTGCCCAGGCTGTAGCGCAGTGGTGCAGTCATAGCTCACTGCGGCCTTGTACTCTTGTGCTCAAGGGGTCCTCCTGCCTCAGTCTCTCAGTTAGTTGGGACTAAAGGTGTGGGTCACTATGCTTTGACCTCCCAAAGTTTTGGGATTACAGGGATCAGCCACCAGGCCAGATGTTATCACAATTTTTTTTTGTTCAGCTACATTTCTAAGTGTCTATGGACTGGACAGCAAAGATTTCTACCATTATTATTTTAAACTTTTTAATGCAAACTACTACAAAGTGGAATCAATAAGTATGCTCCAACATTTTCTCTATTGGATATTTGACTCTTCTCTTGAAAATACAGCAAGTCCTCTGTTTACTGAAAGGGAATTATGTTATGAAAGCTGCCAGTTAAAATCTCCCAAGAGACCACTCTTCTAAGGAGTTGTATTTTTCAGCGGCAAAAATATCCTTCCTGGTTTATAAACTCTAATGGGAGAAGGTCATTTTTATATGATTTCTTTTTTTTTAATGCAGCATACTCTGTTGGGGTTACTGTTGTCCTGCTGAGTTATCTTCAAAAAGTCGTATCCATTCAGCACATTTCAGTGGTGTGGCATTTAATAAGTGGCAGCATTTGCCTTGGCATGACGTTACTGTGACTGCTTGGCATAGCTGAGCCTTGAATCAGGACCCCTCCAGAGGCAGGAGTCGACAGTTGACTCTCAAACTTAGAAAACCCTTGATTAGTTAGTTGGAGGATGATAAGCCAAGTTTATAGAGTATTTTGAAGAGGGGGTAACAAATTCTGCTGTTAGACCAAATAAGATGAGGACAGACAACAGACTTGGGTTAAGCATCGTGGAGGCCATTGTGGATGTGATGGGTGGTTTTGAGAGTGTGGGGAAAGAGGAAGCCTGATTAGAATGGGGTTATGGTAGGAGACACGCTTGAAGCAAGTATAGACAATTCTTTAAAATATTTTGCTGTCAAGAGGATCAAAGAATTGGTATAATAACTGGAAGGTAAAGTAGGGTCAGTGAAAGGTTTTGTGCTGCATATGTAAAAATAATTCACAGCCTTTAAAGGCTCAAGCTTGACACCTGACTACTATCTTTCATACGATTGTAGTTTTTAGGAACATTAACAGTGGGACAGGCTGGGCTCAGTGGCTCATGCCTGCCATTCCAGCACTTTGGGAGGCTGAGGTGGGAGGACTGCTTGAGCCCAGGCATTGGAGGCTGTAGTGGGCTATGATTGCATCATTGTACTTCAGCTTGGATGACAGAGCGAGACTCCGTCTTAAACAAAAGACAACAGTGGGTGGGAGTTAGATTGCTGATCTGATTTGGGGGTGTGATGGTCAGGAAGAGCTCTTGGTGAAGTGGATGCCTGCTGAAGTCTTGATGGATGGACAGGGTTGGCCTGGAGGATAATGCGGGGTCCAGGCATTGGAGGCCTTGGGCAGGAAGTCAGGGGTGGGGGTGGGTGGATGGAATTGTGCAGGGCCTAATAGAGGCTGTGAAAGGAGAGGTGCTGGGGAAAAGGTGAAAATGTAGGAAGTTCTGAGGATGAAGTTACAAGGTTGAGAAAGTCCATAGGTGGGGATTTATTTCCAAGGGGTGGCTACAAATGTTACATAAAGGCTGCAGATAATAATTTCATCTGGAGGGAGTTAACAGGATTAGGAGGCTTAAAGAATGGCTTCACCAAGACTGTAATTCCAGCACTTTGGAGGCCGAGGCAGGTGGATCTTGAGGTCAAGAGATCAAGACTATCTTAGTCAACATGGTGAAACCCTGTCTCTACTAAAAGTACAAAAAATTAGCTGGGCACAGTGGCACGTGCCTGTAATCCCAGGTCCTCAGGAGGCTGAGGCAGGAGAATTGCCTGAACCCAGGAGGTGGAGGTTGTGGTGAGCCGAGATCGCACCATTGCACTCCAGCCTGGGTAACAAGAGTGAAATTCCGTCTCTAAATAAATAAATAAATAGAATGGCTTCACAAGCCACATTTTGGAGGTCAGTGTGCTTGTGTGTGTGTGTGGAAGTATTTTTGAAACAAATGGTTGATATTTAAGTTGATTGGGTTGCCCTTGAGCTTGCTTGGTGGGAAGAGGTGGGCAGGATGTGGTTTTCTAAATGTCCAGGGGGCACCTCTTCCTTATTCACCCCCAGGACATTAATGACTTTCAATTTTTCTTGAAGAGGAAATACCATTTATCGTTAGTAAATGGTTTTGGGACTTCCATTCTTTGGGGACTCAACACATCTGGAGATGACAAATTCTGGAGCTGTCTCAGTGGCAAGTGTCCCAAGGACTCCTGGATGACATTGTAATTAGGATTCATGTGCAGTCAGAATAGGCTCCACAAATGAAGAGGATGCCAAGGTGTGTGTGTGTGTGTGTGTGTGTGTGTGTGTGTTTACAAACTTATTCTCAGTGTTCTAGATAAATGATTCCTTTCCTAGAGGTCCAGACAGATGAAGGTGCAGAGGAATTCTATTATTTGCATTATTAATGGTAATGTTTAAAAACTTGGAGGATTAAGGTCTGAGCTCTTGCTGTACTGGTTAAAAAGTGTCAAAGATTGGTCAGTCTGTATTTTTTTAATAAGTGTTCCATTTTAGTGATTCTTAGGCATGCTTTGGTAGAGATGGACTTGCAGAGCTTCTTGAGAATATAGATTCTCAAAAGCAAACAAAAGAAGAAAAAAAGAATAGAGATTCTCCCCACACCCCTGCCCCAGGATCTTAGTCAGTACATCTGGAGTAGGGTCCAGGAATCTGTATTTTAACTCTCATTATTTGTTTGCCTCCTTCTTCCAAGCTTTGCTTCAGGAAAGAACTATATCAAACGTCACCTTTTAGATTTGAAGAATGGAGAATTACCTTGAACTTTTGGATAGCTGTTCTGTGTTGCAGAATGAAAGCAGTAGGGAATGGGGAAACGTATGACTGAGTATATTTTCATTTGAATATGTCTGTGAGAGTGATGTGGAAGTTCAGAAACACACAACTGGGTTTCTTCTTCAGATAATTTGAAAGCAGTGTTTTAAGAATTTTAAAATATGTGTTCTCCAGATAGAAGTATATAAAATTTAAAATGATGTTCCTTTTTCCCCTTCTCTCCAATTCCACTGCAGTGATAACCACGGCAAATTTCGGTGTGTATGTTTAGGTGTTGTGTGTGTGTGTGTGTGTGAGAGAGAGAGCGAGAGAGAGAGAGAGAGATTTTGCCTCTCTAAAAGGAGGCTCAAACCACACAGGAAGAGCTTTGTTCACTATGGTCTTGTCAGCATCCTTCTGCGTCCCTGTCTTTAGACCTGTTTGTAAGAAACACTTTGAGCCACCAGGGTGTGCAAACTACTTTTTACAGATGAGCAAAAATATGAATTCTTCAGACACATAATATATGCTGTTTGCTCTTTAGAATATTTCTGTAGATTGCATTGGATGGATTGATAAGTATTTCATATATCGGGCAATAGGAAATCTAGCATGCTTTAGAGAAATCAGTATTTCTTGTGCAGTACATATTGCTGGTTCATGCAGTTCCTATCATAATAGAGTATCAGTATCAGAGCCAGAGGGAAGAGTGTATGAGTCACTCCATCATAAAAGGAGCAGTAACTTAATACCAAACTGGGGGTGCTGCCTGAATTTGAAATCAATTACAGTATTGTTGATACGGTTGATTCTTGTTTATGGGCAGGAAGTTATCATGGTTTAAAATGTCTGATTCCCTTTCGGTGATGCTAACTTGCTATATTCAGTGTTTCTGTTCTTTCCTTTAGGATCCAAACTACTGGATACAGGTGCATCGCTTGGAACATGGAGATGGAGGAATACTAGACCTTGATGATATTCTCTGTGATGTAGCAGATGATAAAGACAGAGTAAGTTCCAGTCCCAGAGAACCTGCTCTGAATGCATTGTTTTTGAGGGCTGGGGAGTGGGTGCTATTCTTTTCCTTTCTGTTTTAGACACATACTTTAAATTATGTTTGAGCCACCCACACTAGTATATTTTCTTTTATAGTAAGTATCACAAATCTTCACTGTCCTGAATACCAAGGTATAATGATGTTCCTGATACCTGGGACTTAACATTAAGTTTTAGGGTTTTAAAATTACAGCTTTGGAATGGAAGTATCACAGAAAGATTTTTGTGCCTTACTCCACTTTAATTTAACCAAACACCTTTCTTGACAACTCAGGCCTGTCCTTATCATCTCTGTGTCACACAGTATGCAGCAGCTCTGCATTCTGGTCCCAGTGTTGGCCCAGAGAAGATCCATCCCAACAGTAGCCTGTGCAGCCCACTGCATTCCTGTGTGATGGGCGAGTGTGTCCCTGGCAGCTCCCTCATCTCTCAGGAAGCTCGGCCTTGCTGTGTGATGGGCGAGTGTGTCCCGGGCAGCTCTCTCATCTCTCAGGTAGCTTGGCTTTGCTGTGTGATGGGCGAGTATGTCCTGGGCATCCCCCCATGCAGGGCCTGGCTGTCAGGAAGCTCGGCCTTGCTGTGTGATGGCCGAGTGTGTCCTGGGCATCCCCTCCATGCAGGGCCTGGCTCTCAGGAAGCTCAGCCTTGCTGTGTGATGGGCAAGTGTGTCCCGGGAATCCCTCGATGCAGGGCCTGGCTTTCAGGTAGCTGGGCCTTGCTGTGTGATGGGCGAGTGTGTCCTGGGCATCCCCCTGATGGAGGGCCTGGCTCTCAGGTAGCTGGGCCTTGCTGTGTGATGGGCAAGTGTGTCCCGGGCATCCCCTCCCATGCAGGGCCTGGCTCTCAGGTAGCGGGGTCTTGCTGTGTGATGGGCAAGTATGTCCCGGGCATCCCCTCCCATGCAGGGCCTGGCTCTCAAGTAGCTGGGCCTTGCTGTGTGATGGGCGAATGTGTCCTGGGCAGCCCCGTTATGCAGGGCCCGGCTCACAGGTAGCTCGGCCTTGCTGTGTGATGGGCAAGTGTGTCCTGGGCAGCCCTCCCATGCAGGGCCTGGCTCTCGGGCAGCTGGACCTTGCTGTGTAATGGGCACGTGTGTCCTACCATGCAGGGCCTGGCTGTCAGGAAGCTCAGCCTTTTCTCTGTCAGTGCTCTATGCTCTGTATGTGCTTCACCCGTCTTTACTGTGGTCTGTGAATTTGGCTCCTGGACATATCCACCTACTGCTCTTCCCTGTTCCCTCTACACTTTTTTCTGTACTCTTGAGAGGAATGAGGAAGAGGAGGAGGAGAGGGAGGAGGAACGTTCAGCATTTTGAGAATGCGTGACGGGATGTTTGGCTCTGTATGTAGAAGTCAGCAAGTTCTTTTTGGAGACAGGGTCTTGCTCTGTTGCTAGGCTGGAGTGCGGCGGTGTGATCACGGCTCACTGCAGCCTCCACCTCCCAGACTCACGTGAGCCTCCCACCTCAGCCTCCTGAGTAGCAGCCTACCCACTAATTTCTAAATTACTTGTGGAGACAGGGTCTTGCTATGTTGCTCAGGCTGCTCTCAACTCCCGTGATCAAGTGATCCTCCCACCTCGGCCTCCCAAAGTGTTGTGATTGCAGACGTGTGCCACTGTGCCAAGCCCAGCAAATTCTTTATGGTTCTGAGGAGATTTGAACAGGCTTCTGGAGCCACCTGGCTACTCCTTTTGTATTTGGTTTATAAGGAATTGCAGAAGGGCTCATAGCCACATGTGTAGTTGCATCAGCATGGTTGTATGGAGGCAATGACCTGGTTGTCTGTCTCCTAAAACCTCACTGCAGTGGCCCAGGGTATTTGGCCAGCCAGGTTACATCACAAGGTCGGAAGATGGTAAGGTCACCCAGACACTCACTCTGCTTCCTCCCGGGGCTCCCTCTGGTTCCTGGCCCTCTCTTCCTGCCTTGCTCTTCTTGCCCTCCACTGCGAGCTGGGTGCGCACAGCTGTTGTGTCTTGTTCACACCTGCATTCCCGACAGCATTGTGCCTGGCTGAGAGTTGGGGCATGTCGTAAATGTTTTCTTGAAATTTCAAGTAAAACAAAAAACATGAAATGCCAAATATTGTGTAAATTCGGAAGATTAGATTCACTTAGCACCTGTCATAGTGGAGTTTGTCACATGTGGCTCCTGTGGGTGAGGAATACATTGTGTCAACAAATGCAGAAATTCCTGCTGACTTAAGTTTTGATGCTATTTTTCTTGGTGCCATTTCTCCTTCTTGGGCTTTTCAGTGAGCCAGGCTTAGGGTAACTCTGAAATCCTTTTCTGCAGTCCACGTGAAGAATACCATCTTTCATTTATTGTGTGGCTAAATTCCAGTGTTTAAGGCAACTACAGAGATTTATGAAGAATTTAAACAGGTGCTCTTTCTCCACCAGGAGATTAGAAAGGGATGAATTAATGTATCCATCTCTCAGTGGCTTCCTCTTCTCCCTTCTTTTCCTTAAATCTTTTTCTGTGCTTTTTTTCTTCTCTCCTCCTTCTGTTTCTCTGTTCCTCTCTCTTGCTATTATTTCCTGTGTAAAAATAGCAAAACTCTGGTTGGGTGTGGTGGCTCTTGCCTGTAATCCCAGCACTTTGGGAGGCCGAGGTGGGTGGATCACAAGGTCAGGAGTTTTAGAACAGCCTGGCCAACATAGTGATACCCTGTCTCTACTAAAGATACAAAAAATTAGCTGGGCATGGTAACCCCATCTCTATTAAAGATACAAAAAATTAGCTGGGCATGGTGGCACATGCCTGTAATTCCAGCTACTCAGGAGGCTGAGGCAGGAGAATCACTTGAACCCGGAAGGTGGAGGTTGCAGTGAGCCGAGATCGCACCATTGTACTCCAGGCTGGGCCACAGGGCAAGAACACTCTGTCTCCAAAAAAAAAAAAAAAAAGCACAATTCCTTGTGAGGAAAATCTGGAAAATGCAGACACATACAAAGGAACTAATCACCTGCCATTCTGCTGTTGCTGAAAGCTCACCACTGTCGTTTCAGATTTTCATCCTGGCTCGTCCCATTCTTCAGATACATAATCTTTTTCTCTAAAGAGACTTGAATATGTATTTTTTTTAATTTTGAGGTTAATATATGTATATATTTCTGTGTCCATGAACCATAGCTATGCCAACATGGCTGTGCAGTGTTGTTTTTTTTTTTTTTTTGAGACGGAGTTTCGCTCTTGTCACCCAGGCTGGAGTGCAATGGCGCGATCTCGGCTCACTGCAACCTCCGCCTCCTGGGTTCAGGCAATTCTCCTGCCTCAGCCTCCCGAGTAGCTGGGATTACAGGCGCGCGCCACCATGCCCAGCTAATTTTTTGTATTTTTAGTACAGACGGGGTTTCACCATGTTGACCAGGATGGTCTCGATCTCTTGACCTTGTGATCCACCTGCCTTGGCCTCCCAAAGTGCTGGGATTACAGGCATGAGCCACCGCGCCCGGCCTGCAGTGTTTTGTTTTAATTTAATTTACTTACTTAGAGACAAGGTCTCCTCTGTCACCCAGGCTGGATGCAGTGCTGTGATTATATAGCTCATGCAACGTCAGCTTCCCAGGCTCAAGTGATCTTCCTGCCTCAGCATGTTTTTTTCTTTAAAATTTATTCTAGATTCAGGGGTGCATATGCATGTTTGTGATATAGGTAAATTGAGTGTCATGGGGGTTTGGTGTATAGATTGACACGCCAGATAATAAACATAGTACCTGATAGATGAAGTTTTTGATTCTCTCTCTCTCTTCAAGTAGGCTCTGCTTATGTTGTTTTTCTGTTTATGTCCATGTGAGATCATGCATTATTTGGTTTTCTGTTCCTGTGTTAATTCACTTAGGGGTCCTAGCCTCCAGCTCCATTCACATTGTTGCAAAAAACATGACCTTGTTCTTTTTTATGGCTGCCTAGTATTCCATGGTGTATCTGTACCACATTTTCTTTATCCAGTCTACCACTGGTGGGCATTTAGGTTGATTCCATGTCTTTGCTATTGCGAATAGTGCTGCAGTGAACACATGTGTATATGTTCATTGTGTGTATCAATTTTTCACATACCCATGTGTGTCTTTATGGCAGAACAATTTCTTTGGATATATACACAGTAATGGAATTGCTGGGTTGAATAATAACTGTTTTAAATTTATAGAGAAATTGCCGTACTGCTTTCCATAATGGCTGAACTAATTTACACTCCCACCAGCAGTGTATAAGCATTCCCTTTTCTCTGCACCCTTGCTAGCATCTGCTGTTTTTTGATTTTTAATTTTTTTCTTCAAATTTCACCCATCACATGGATGTATTGTTTGGCTTAATAATAGCCATTCTGACTGGTGGGAGGTGGTGTCTCATTGTGGTTCTGATTTGCATTTCTCTAATGATAGTAATGTTGAACATTTTTTTCGTAAGTTTATTGGCCATTTATATGTATTCTTTTGAAAAGCATCTGTTCTGGTTCCTTGCCCACTTTTTTTTTTGAGATGGAGTGTCATTCTTTTGCCTAGGCTATAGTGAAGTGATGCAGTCTCAGATCACTGCAACCTCTGCCCTGTGTTCAAGCAGTTCTCATGCCTCAGCCTCCTGAGTAGCTGGGATTACAAGTGATCACCACCATGCCTGGCTGATTTTTGTATTTTTAGTAGAGATGGGGTTTTGCCAAGTTGGGAAGGCTGGTCTTGCATGCTTGACCTCAGATGATCCGCCTGCCTCAGCCTCCCAAGGTGTTAGGATTACAGGTGTAAGCCACTGTGCCCGGCCTCTTTGCCCACTTTATAATGGGGTTGTTTGTTGCTTGTTAGTTTGCTTAAGTTCTTTACAGATGCTGGATATTCAACCTTTGTTAGATACATAATTTGAAAATATTTTCTCCCATTCTGTAGGTTGTCTGTTTACTCTATTGATAGTTTCTTTTGCTGTGCATAAGGTCTTTAGTTTAATTAGGTCCTATTT